TTATCGCAAATTTTCAAATGTATATCATGATAAATATTTTTGGTCATATCGCCCTGCTCTAGAAAGCACTCGTAAAACAGATCTGGCTAAAGCAAATAGAAAAAATCTTTGCATGTTATTTGACGTCCATTTTTTTTTTGTGATAACCAGCAGTGGAAACACTGACATCCTTTAGTCAAGACCAGCAAAACCAGCCACCAGACTTTGACTGGGTGTGGCAGGATAAATGTTAGCTCTTCGGGTGTGAAAGTGTGTGTGTGTGTGTGTGCGTGCGTGCGTATCTGAGAGCTAGTATCCTGTTAGTGTGTGAATATATGTGTGCGTGTGTGTGTCTGTGTCTTAACCACAGCGTCTACTGAGGAGGCCTGGGGGTTGTAACCATGGCAGAAGGGGATTGTTTATTCTGCTGGACCACACAGCATCAGCTTCTTAGTGTGGCATTCTCTTAAGAAGGTCTGATTATTTTTGATGTTTTTGTTCTTGCTCTGGTGTTGATTGAAAAGGAAATATGCTCTTATTATATATTGGAAAGAGTCATTAAATATTGCTATTTGGATATTTTTGTGGATCGCTTGTATCCTCTCTCTGGTTTCTTGATGAATAAATATGAATGTATAATCAGGGTTGCAGTGTTAAAAACAATACTCCAATAAAGCTAGCGATATCTGGAAGTTGCAGTGTGCTGATGGATATTGCATTATGAATGTTGCAGAGTAATGCATCAGTGGACTGTTCCTATATAGACTTCTCTGCCAGCTGCAGTTCAGTGAGGGGACTTCTAGACATTTTCAATATGTAAAAAATGCATGGAAGGAATTGCTGTGCACCACATGGGTGTGGGCTGCATCCTGTCTGCATTTATGTAGCTGCAGCCCCACTTTGGCTGAGTGTATATGTGCGTCTGCATGCTTGTGTGGGTCCGCGTGTTATAGGTGCATGATGTACTTGAGTTTTTAGCTCTGGGCCCTGTCGGAGGAATTGCTGAAGGGGTGCATTTAATTCAGTTTCGTTGTGGACCAGCGGAGGATGGCGGTGGTGTGTGTGTGTGCTTTTAATGTGTGTCTGCTGTGAGTCATTGATCAAATATTTTGCTTGCAAAGATTCAGAGCACTCCCTCAATGGGGCCTCCGAATCCAGTGGTAGCCCCTCCCCTGTGAGTGAAGCAGGCTCCTGAGTGGTCAGACTCTGTGGCAGATTTGGCATTTTACCTCCACGGCCCCTCCTTCCACACATTTGAATTTGCCATGACTCAAACCTTTTTTCTATTTTGGAGATGTCGCTCCTTGCTTCTATAAACAATAGGAAACATTGTTGCCACTGAAATGATGCACAGAAAGTTGAATCAGCTTGACTAAAGTCAAGCAGGTCCTCGGCTAACGTTATGTTACATCGACCTCCCTTTTTTAGGCTAAAATAATGTTCAAAAACAATGGAATATTCTTTTTATTATGTTTTATTGTTGAATAACTAAGTGCATGGTATAGGAGTTTGCACATCATCACTTATACAGTTAGAAAGTCATAAGCTTTTACTGTGAGGAATAGCCTCATCCACTGTAGCTATTCAGACTGTTTTTGGCTTGTTTCTTTGTACAGCAGTGACTTAACCCACTGCAGGACTCACACTTTACCTACTGTAAGCAAATAATAAACAAAAGATATGTATATTTTATGAAAAAGTGTATAGTCTATAGAAATATTTATTCTTTTTGCCTTTATGAAATGCTGACATGTAGCCGTACAGATGGTTGTATACCATATGGATTTTGCAGAATAATGCACCAGGTAGCAGTGATTTTCAGGTGTTTCAATATGTTGTAAACAAATAAATGAAAACCTATGAAATTAAATTCATATCTCCTTTTTCTTCAACCTGGTTCAAGTGGTTTGCTTGGTTCAAGTGTTTGTTGCTGAAAGATATGCCTCTGCTTTTTATTTTTAATGACTTTGTTTTCTGCGTGTATTTACAAGCACACACGAAAAGAAATATCTGCCAAAACTGCATTATGTCAGCTATTCAAACTTTTGCATACACAGCAACAGCCAGATTATTCTAATTCTGTTTCCTACTTCCTTATGTTTCCTACAAAAGCTGGTAGTCTTTAGATATGCTATTGACACTGCATAGCAGTTTGAAAGACACTGTTCACCGTGTCTACTGCACTGCTGTAGAAATGATCTTAAACACGTGACCACGTTTAAACGGGTGGCGCAGTGAGAAGATTCTGGGTTGGAATCTATTGGCTAGGTGTACTGTATTTGGGCACACAGTCTAAAGACATCCTTGTTAGGTGAACTGCTAATTCTGGATTGGCTTTAGGTGTGGATATAAGCTTGAATGATTGCATGTTTCTCTATATTAGCTTTGTGA